AGGTACTCTATTATATTTGATTGTTGGACTTTACAAGAGTTGCAGGGAGTATTCTTGGCACCCCTCTGGCTGTCAGAAATCTTGGTTATACTTTTTAATTGTGACCAGAGTGTTGAACCACATGTCAAAACAGTCATGTTCTCTCAAACTCAAAGTTATTGCCAACAACCAAACTATTTATTTCTTTTGGTGAACTGGATTTTTCCCCCCCTCCCTTCTGATCTTCTGGAACTTTCTTCTTGCTGGCATTCATCAAAGGTCACTGTTTCGCCTCGTCCTATTTTTGCTAACGTTACATGACAACACCACAGTCTTGGCTTTACTCCACAGATGTCCTGTCAGATATTGTAGTTGTGTAGAGATTGTAGTTATTAGCTTTATAGCACACTTAAGGTTTGGCTCATTCCTGGATAATGGACAATCCCTTGGTTGTCTGTTCAGATCTTTGAATCCTTAGATTGCCATTCCTTGCTAGCCTGCACGCTCATGTTTTATTTGCTCTGCCAGATGTGCCTGGTCGCTGTTACAATTACAAATATTTCCCCCAGTCTTGGATCCCAATCACAACCGTTTATCTAATATGTGACAGGTTTTATATGATGACTGTACAGAAGAGCACAACCTTATTTGCTGTTGAGGCATTTACAACCAAGGTTTCAACCAACTGCTTCTGTTGAATTCGCTATCATGTCAGTATTACAAAATATTTTCTTTAAAAGAGTAAGATAAGAGAGACGCGTTGCAATACTTCCAACAAGATTTGATAATTTTAATTAACCAACTATGCTGCACGACATGTTGTTTTGCTCTGACTGTAAGTGTATCCAACTGCATCCAAAGGCATTTTGGTCTACACCCGTTGATAACGCCCCTTGGAAATTGAAAATAAACTGAAAGGTCAATGCCAGGCTAATTGCTGTTTTTAGTTGTTCCACTGCACAGCCACTAGCATCTGTCAATTCAATGACAGAGTATAAAGAGATCCAGAAAGACATATGACGGGGAAGGGGTTTGATTCTGCTCCAAAAAGTCTTGATCTGGGCTGGCTCAGCTATAATGTCCCATTTTATTTAAGATTGCTTTAACTGTTTAAATGATCCCTTCCTGTATTAGTCATCTTTGATGTTCACAGACTTAATGCAAATAATGATCTGAGGAATCCACAGCCCTGTTTTTAGTCTCCTTTGAGGGAAAGCAGAGATAAACTGTGCACTTTTTAGTTCAAGGAGACTTTGGTATCACAATGCAGATGATGTCCTATTTTTAGAGGAAGTGCACTAATTAGGCTGTGGATTTAAGCATTTCTTCAAGCCCATATGATGAGACTGGTTTCTTCAAGGCTCTGGTTCAGTTTTAGACCCCTGACTGAATAACAGCAACAACATTATCAGTTGAAATGTTCTTTATACAAGAAACTCTGACAGGTTTTCTTTTCGCAAGGTAGGGCAGTGATCCTTGTATTTTCTTGTGGTTGTTTAAAGGGTTATAGTTTAGCATTGAAGTTAGAGTTATTATAATTGTGATTCTGTCTCCCAAGGACTCACAACACTCTCCCATTCTCAAAAATGTGTTTCGCTTATTGTTACTTCACTTGGATGTTTGACCTTCACTGTGCAGAATAATGTATGAGAAGGCTGCTTTCAAGTTCACCTGCTGAAGTGGGGAAAGTTATATGTGCTTACTTAAAATATGAGTTTAAGACACATACCAATGATTTTTTGTCATCACAATTAGTTTGGACGCCAATCGTGACCCAGTAATGAACTTACACTAAAATTCTAGTCTCTAGTGCTCATTAACAGAAAATTAACTTTCTAGTGAAGTAGAGATGTCTTATGTTCAGTCAGTTTTGAAATGAAAATTATCATATTTATGGAATCTGGATTTTTCATCTACGGAAAAAGAGCTGATGTAATTTGAGGACATTTTTAACAAGGTAATGGAACTTCTTGTGGAAAAACCATATCCAACAGAGTATTTTTTTATGTCTGGGAGGAATTATAAACTGCTCCTTCCTTTTTTCCTTTTATTAACAACCCCATTTCCCACAGCAGCAGCTAAAAAGCTCTGATAAACCCATAGTACATTATCTGGCTGGCACCAAACGGCTGACAGACTAAGTTAGCGAAGTGAACTTAGTGAAGCATTTAGCTAAAGACCCAGATCATTTTTCTCAGAGTGTGGTGGACACACAAACAGACATTAAAGGGTAGTGATTATTGGACTTCGTCAGGTGGCCAGAAACACGACTTCACATAAATGCTGATGTTGCCCCATGTCTGCTGAGTGTAAAAAGACAACACTGAACTGGTTGATTAAGCCAATTACAACCGTCTAAAAGGGGAATCTACAAACGCATTACAGTCCCCTTTCAAGCCATTCGAGAGGGTGAGTATGTTTTCGATAAAACATCACCCTAAAGTGTTGCTAGCCAAATGCTAAGCTTACAAGTGAAGAACTTTACTTTAAACTTTGGTAAATGGATTTGGGTCTGGGGATTACCAGAGACTAGAAACTAATGTATAACTTGTTAACACTAAACAGACGACATAAACCAATCCATGAGGCTTCTGTGTTGTCACTTAGCATTTGACAGTTAGCCTAGTTGTAGTTTATAGTGGGTCAAGTTAAACTGGTTTATTCAGTTTAACCCATAGCTGCTTGCTACATCAAATTAGCTACAGTAACATTATCTCATTTTAAAGTTAGCTTAGCTCTAGTTGATTTTAGTTTAAATTGCAGCTGCTTGTTACATCAAATTAGCTACAGTAGCTAGGCTAGTAGAAAAAAACCAAAACGTTAGCGTTGAAAACAAAGAAGGTTTCATACAAGAAAGGATGCTATTTCAGTAATTACTATTATTGGAATAAGTCAGCAACCTACTTTACATTTGAACTGTATATTGTATCACTTATTGTTACTTTGTCTGGACTTTAGATACAAATTAACATGCTGTAGAAAATTTTACCCCTGCTCGGAAATGTTTAATATAATTTAAAATTACACCTCCACACAGTCCCGATATCTGTACCTGCAATATCAATAATCAGTCAAATACACTACTAGCTTCTGATGATAGAGCAAATCATGTTGAAATGAGCAAGCGTGTAACTTTTCCCAGCGGTTTCATCTTCAATAACTTCCTATCTAGCAGCCCTGATAAGGAGTTAATGAGGTGCAGATGGCGAGACAGGCAGTCGGGAGGGCTGATGAGAGAATGAGGCACAGGTGTGCAGGGCAGAGGACCACAATGAGGGCACCTGGTGTGCAGAGGACCACAATGAGGGCACCTGGTGGACAGGTGACGAATAACACACAGTTGTGTCTGCATTCTTCATTTGACATACTACTCACATGGAAAGGTAAAAATAGTGAGTTTTATGCAAAATGGAAAGAAAAAAATGTGGCACTTATGGTCTCTAAAAGACTTTTACACATTTCCATTCCCCTAGGAACAACCATCAACTCAGAGGATCCCTCAACCAAACGGTGGAGAGCAACAGCAGAGCCGTGACCCAGGTTGGTAAATGCAAATATTTTTATTTAGTATAGTAAAACAGCTAAATGTGATGCTACTTTTGCTAAAGGTGAAGTTGATTGTATGTCTATAGTGTAACCTGCCTAATAGATATTTGAATTCTAAGTCTATCTTTATACAGCTCTTTTTATAGCACGTTAGGTCAATGTAATTACTGCCTTATCATACTGAATGTATACCTATCACACTGAAAGAAGTTCAGCAGAAGCTAATATGAGGCTTGATTAGTCTTGACTAATTGACAAATTGATTGGCTTCTTCACATACTGAGAGGAGTGCAGGTTAGTGTGTGTCTACTTGTGAAGTACTTTTAGCTGCTAACATGTGTGATATTTGTCTCATCACACCGACGTTTGACACACAACAC